CAGTAAATCTTTTTCTATACACCCAGTTAATATTTATAACTTGATAAAATAGGATGGCCTGCTAATAAGGTAATTTTATGGGTCTTGGAATCTTTTATGTGGTAGAATCTACTACAGCACATGAAATATAGAACTATAAGAATAACCTAAGTTCTAACTTCTTCCATTTTTATTTTTCAACTTAATTTTCATTATTATTAAACATGAAATTGTTTCTTTTTTTAATTATAAAACGTATGGACTGTTAAAGTGTTCTCTTGTTCTTTGCGCCCGATACAAAATGGGAGTAAATCCATACAGACATCTTTTGGTAAAAGCCTGGAGTTGGATTAATCTCTGAGAGCAGTGAAGCATCTAATTCCATTTCACTCTCAAAACAGAAGACAAAAAAAAACAACCAGGAAAATACTATTCCTTAAAATCAGTTATGCTCTTTTTGTTGTTGTCATGAAAAGCATATTGTCCTGTTATCAGTGATGTCGGATTTAAATGTTACAATTTGTCCCTTTCATACCAAAAATAACTGCGTCTTTAACAATTAATCTCAGATTACACAGTACTGTATGATATACAGTATCAGGAGTCTTGCCTAGAGCTGAAGTACTAACAGATCTGTCTGCAGTTATGACAAATGCATAAGTTATTGAATGCCTAAGCAACTGTACAGCAAAAATACGGTCTAAAACTGAAAATGACACTTTAAATGAAAAAGGTTGACAACTCATCCTGATACAAAGCATTTAGATCAGCAATTTAGCCTTGCAGGTAATCGAATGGTGTCCTGTGGCTTACAACAAAAACAAACCGTGATGACAAAGTTTATAACTTATAAATACAAGTTATTTCTTAACTCTGCAATGTATCACTCCTGACAATTCTGATGAGAATGTAACCTGGTGAGCTTTATATTGTAACATCTTCAACTGAAAAGGAAATACGCTCTTGCAAACTCTTTGACACTCCAAAGAAAAAGCCCTCTGTCATACAAAGGTTTTTCACGGAGTGAATTTTTGTTCGGAGAAACTTGACTAAAAATGTCCCAGTTTCATTGAGTATATACATGATGGTAAAAATATGGCAACTAATCAAAACGTTCAAGGTTTATATTAGCAGACGTACATTACAGTTTTATATAAAGAATGCACAAAGCAGCAATTTAAATAAGAGCTACAATGCGTAACCAACTGTTGGAAAACTGAAAGCACAAGAGTCCTTATTTATAACTCAGCCTGACTGGCAAAGCGAGTCATCTTTGCATAAATGCAAATTAAGTGTTTTAAAAAGTGTACTTTGTGTGGCTGCAGTAAAGGTTTGGCAACCTGATAATTATATTAACCTGTATTGAGTAATGCTTTAAAAATCCCATTTAAAAAAAAACATTTGTTATTATTTTTTCCCCTTGTCTAGGCCATTCTCCACCATACAATTTTCTATCCTGGAAAAAAAAAGTGCAATTAACTGTTTTCTTCTAAGAAGTAATCATCACTTGAGAGAAGAAACTTGATCAGCATCTCATTGCCACAATGTACTGTAGCCAGACTTGGGTATAATAAGCTGTGGAGGAGGTTGCCAAGCTACCCTGGCCAGAAGCACAGTGATTCAGCTCAGTAAGATGCTTCTTTGCTTTCCTTGGCCTCAGCTCAGCAACAGCCAGTAGCCACTGAAAGATCCCTGTGAATCCCCTGTGAAGCCATGATGAGCTCAGCACAGCTGGGACTTCAAGCTGCTATTTCACAGACACAAGGGATGAGCTACAAACACGGAACATACAGGGACCTGCAGCACTGGCAGAAAATACTACTTTTTTACTGACCACACCATAGGCAGTGCCCCCAGGTTTTTGGTGTTTATTTTTTTCCCCCCATCATGACATGCCCCTTTATACTTGACATTGGCCGATTCCTTTTCCCAGTTAAGAACACAGTCTCTGCTCATTTTGATTCCTGGCGTGCTGCTTTTCACATCACAGACACTGACTGTTTCGTCTGTTTCACCCTACTAATCCATCACGCAGAGTTCAAAGGCAGTGATAATCACTAATCCCAGAGCTCGACTAACTCGCATTTCATTCGTGCAATGTGCTCAAGGATATTTGTGTAAAACACTGCACACTTATTTTCACCGGCTGTGAAATGAGACTATTCTTTTCCAATAGGACAGAGAAGTATATAGTGTACAATAATCACCACCCCAATGTATCATTCCACAATCAAAGGGTAATGAACACAATTTTCTGGGATATAGTGAACATGCAACATGTGCTAACCGCACTTTAAAAAAATGTTAGAAATTATTTGCTGAAAACTGACAACACCATTTAAATGTCATTCACTGAAGTGCTGTTAGATTTAGTTGTTGGTCTCTGGTTTGCTGTGAAATCTAGCCATATTACAACTTCATTCATTTTGTGGTTTATCAAATGTAATTGCAATATGACAAAAGTGGGGGGAAAAAAGGTAAGCAGACCATCAGAAATGCAAAGTAGGCAATACTTTTGTTCGCTTAATCCACATTAAAAGTCATTCTCCGACAAAACTTGAGATACAATTTGACTGAAGCGGAATGAGTTTCCAGATTTTCCATTTCAATGAAGCATACTATATCAAAGGCAAAGAAATCTTTAAATTCATTTTTTCAAAAAAGTTGGTATTGCATAACATAACCTCATTAAATTACACTTAAGGAAAGAGTTAAGCTGCGTTGGGTCAGAAGCAACTATAGTACTTTAGAGAGGGTGAGCACAAAGCCTCTGAATGCTGGCTGATTTTTTGTTTAATAAACAATGACAAAGTAGAATTTGTGTGTACTGTCACATGAGGATAGATTTATCTACTGTTAGGACTTCTAGGTGAAGGTCAGATGTGTCTTAATATGTAAAACTAGAGAATCTTAAGAGAACGCACTTTCTTTTCACAACACTGTATCTGTATCACACATAAAACACAGACCTTCCACCAACATCAAGAGACGGATTTCAATAACTTTCTGCTCCAGAACACTTCAATTCTCATCTTCTGTAAGCTGCTAAATAAATATTAATTCAGTGGTTTCTATGAGATTCAGGGGTTTCACAAATGTTTTGACAAGTCCAGAGGGAAGAAAAAAAAACTTAACAGATATGTTCTCCACAATGAACAGTTCATACAAACTTCCAATTTCTTTTCTCATTTGCTTTGTGTATTAACTTAATATTTCATCTTCCATGCGAGTCCTTTCTTCTGACCTGACTGCAACGTTTAAGAAATTAATATTCCAACATCTTTCATTGGAACAGTCTTTTCAACAGGCTATGGGTTATGCCGCTGAAGGCCTTAACTCCTCCAACTCCAGATGAATAAAATTAAAATGTGATTTAAAACATCACTGTTGCCCGGCAAGCCATTTCTATTTCAAAGGAAGGTAACAAACTGTTTGCAGATCTCCAGCCGTTATCCATCCATTTACTAATTACTTTATCCAGTACAGGGTCGCAGGGGACAGAGCCTATTCCTGGCAAGCAAAAGCAGGATACACCCTGGATGGGATGCCAGTCCATCACAGAGCACACAGAGACAAACATGCACACATACTCACACCAGGGCCAATTTTCCCAGTAGCCAATTACCTAAAGGTATGTCTCTAGACTGTGGGAGAACACCCGAGTCCCTCAAGGAAACCCTCATGTACAAACTCCACACAGATGGCACCTGAGGAATTGAGCCCAGGACCCCAGTGAAGCAATGCTAATCACTGCACCACCCTACCCACATCTCATCACTGCCTTTTTCATTTTAATTTAGTAGAAGTCACAAATGTCTCACTTCATTATGCACCCCAGAATTTTTTTGAGGTTTCTGTAGATACTTCCATCATTAAATTTTACTCTCCTCTAGTTTTTTTGATGCATTTGGTTTTAATTTGCCAAACTGCAGGTCAGGACTACAGTAATGAGCTGTGTAACTACTATGATTTAAAAATGAGTTTATTTTCTATATTTCAAACAGATCTGCATACCCTTCAGTTTACTGTTTCATGCCAGGATGCTGTGATTCAATGCATGCCATTTGAAATATTTCAGAGGACCTCCTGATGCTCAATATCATGATAAATATTTGTATATAAAAAAATTTGACATATGAATATATTCTGAGTAGAAAATAAAGATGCCCTTTTAATACAAAGCCCAAACTTAATGACTCTGGCATTGTCAAAACTGAAGGCAATTCTGAAGTACTGTAAAACATTAAGATATCATTTTTTTAAAAGTGTGATTCATTGTTGTTGTCACTTAAATTAAAATAAAAACAATGGTAATGATGTCTAACATCAAGAGCATGTGATGCCATGTAATCCTTTAAAGTTACTCACTGGGGTACTCAGACTTCCACTTGGTTATTAACGGCGCTAAAACACAAACTCGGAAACAGAGCTGAGCAGTAATACGCAATGCTCCTTCGTCAAAATGTCTTTTGTGCTGTATCAGATACAAAAATATATTGCGTTATGAGAAAGTTTGTTGTTGTTGTTGTTGTTGTTGTTGTTGTTTTTGCTTGTTACATGTGCATCTCACATTCGTATACGTTATACTGTACAAAACACCCATGACCTTAGTGAGAAAACAAGTCAGATTCACCCACTATGATATCGAAGTCTTACACCACTGTGCTTGCCAGGCAACCCATCAGCCAAAGCCAATATTAAAAAGAAGACGTTACAATGTCGTTTAGTGCCCATGTTAAAACGGCGGTTGTAATTGTCCCGTAGTTTTCATTACCCCTAGAAAAATAACACTGGAGGGCTGTGACGCCTTTACTGTTGCCTTTGCAAATTTTATGACCCAAAGGCTAGGGGCACTGGCAGAAAGACAAACACATAGTAAAAACTTTGCCCGCAACCTCTTAACTGTACAGCCTCCAGAGAAGGGCTCTTACCCACGTCAGGCAACAACTGTCAGGATACACACAACTGATCACACAAAGAGCAAGCCCTATTGCAAACTAGGTCGGAAAAACGCAACCTACTGCATTGTGCGACGGAGCAGAGACCGATTTTCCCAGCGTCTCTCTCAAGTCCTTGGGTGTGGTGAAGGAGCACAGTGCCTCTTCCACTTCACCAGGGGGATGATCACTTTCCCTGTGTATTACATTCTCACTCGGGCACAGCAAGCCCCATTTTTAAAAAGCAACGGCAAGTTTAACGGCGTCGCTGTTGATTTCACCACCTGTTCGTCTCGTTGTCCACCCACCCCCCCAGGAATCGGTCTTACTTAAAAAGAAACCTTTGTGCATAAATGTCAAATGTGAATCTGAAAAGGGACACCAGACGGCAAAGGAACTTCCAGAATCAAAATGGGTCTTTTTGAAACTCGACAATTTTAATCAATTTTAAGACCACTTTCATCATGGAGAGATCCATCTACCAATACATCATCAATGCTATATCAGAGACACGATCAAACATCACAAAGCACTGGCTATCGGGCCCAGTTTCAACTGAGCAGTGCATTCCTGGAAATTAAAAGCGTATCCTCCACAACACAACTGAGGGACTACATCTAAACTATGCAACAGTGTACACTAAACCCACCTTAATACATCTGCAGCCTGCAGCGAGGATTTTAGCCCGTCCATATTTCACTCCATCGCTGATCCAGTCAAATACCTTATTTATTTTTGTTCAAAAGTAGAGGCTAGCTACCCTTAATGCCATATTGGTACAGTTTTCCAATAGTGTTATGTGAATGCGCCTAAACTATCGGTACGCGATTGCCTCATGAGAACAAAGAGATAACGTGCGAATATATCACATCTTGTGTTACTTTCGAGCGACTGCAAACAACGCCAAGAAGCGCGACAAACACTTCTTGTCGGGCAGCAGGAGCAGAGCAGGGAGGTCTGGATGCGCTGCGCCGAGCGGAGTGTCAGTTCCCGTAACAACAACATGCTTGCAGACTGAAGTGGAGGAGCACGGTAAATAATGCTTGGCGCACGGAGTTGAGCAGGATTTGCAAACCGGCTCCACTGCACAGGAGTGCGGGGACGCACCGCTGAAAGCGCCCGGGTCTTACCTGCTGGAAAGAAGGGAAAAAGATCTTCGTGAGCTGCCCCCCGGCTTCTGCAATTCACGAGCTGTCGAGGTCCCTGCTGTAGCGCTCCGGATGCTGTCCGTTCCGAACAACACATTAATTCCAGCCTCTCCCCTTTTTTTGTGTGTGTGTGCGCTTCTTTCGGAGAATATGGCGAAAGGGTGTGGACAACGACGGCCCCGTGATGTCAGCGCGCACAGCGGCGACGGGGGCCAGGAGGGAGTATGGCTCTCGCACTACTCCGTCATGAGGGCAGGCAGGAGGCGCAGGCGGCCGCAAGTGCGGTGGGGTGGTTTTCACCCGGTCTCAGCGCGCAGACCTTACCTTCTCTACGACTCCCCGGAGCTACATATCAGAATCGGGTCAAGGGAAAAGTAGGCGTTAACGTGTAAGCCGAAATTCTAGTTTTCCATCATCTACGACGTAAAAAAAAAACATTTTCCCTGCAACAATGACACGCTTTGGGTATTGTGGTTAAGGTGGGGATCTGCTTATTGTTGCTCCAGGTCTTCTATTTATACTGGTGATGTCAGCTACCTTGTGCTCCCTGGAATGAGCTCACCTTTGTCAAGCTGATATTTTGTTTTTCAGCTTCCCAATAACTGGAAATAGTGTTGCTTACTAATTATTACACATTTCGCAAAATCATATGACATCAACTGTAATACTGTATTCTGCATTCCAAATTTCGCAGTTCACTTCATTTATTCAGATTGTTCCACAATTGCAAAAGAGCAGTTACACTAACTAGGTACAGTACATTCTAAGGCATAGTACCCTATTCGGATTCTAGGGAGCCCTTGTTTTCATTCTGTACTGCGTTATACAAATGTTATACAATGTTATACAAATGCAAATTTTTCATCAGAGTCGTACTTGGGAGTCGATTCTTTTTAAATTTTATGAGTTGCCATCGCTTAATTAGCTAATTGTTACTTAGGTTTTAAATGTTCATACTCGATGAAAGTTAAACTCTTGGAAAATGTTTATCTGACCAGGGATGCAAGAATGCAATTACAGCATTAGATACAAGTTCAGGAAACATTCTGTAACTACACTTACTTCAAAAGAATTAGTCTTTCGATGTGTGATTAAAATATTAGAATTATCTGCTGTATAGTAGTTTTAAAATTGCTATAGACAAGAACCATAAATCATTTTTAAAAGGAAAATGATACTTTTAATAATCTGTATAGATCTCATTACTATAAATGTAGCAACAGGATATAGCAACAATAATTTCAAGTAGGTAGCTGTGTCAACATGCATCACGCCTGAAGAAAGGCCCACAGCCGCAATGTGTATCTTTTCTTTTCCTTTCAGCATGGAATAAACCTTTACTTGTTCCTTTAATTTAAAAAAATAATATTTTTTTTTCCAGATTTAAAATTGTTTCCTTAAAGAAGCAAAACTAAAAAGACCAGGATATCTATTTGCTTAAACACATTATTGGATTTGTGTTCTTTCTCTGGAAACAGTAGAAGTTATCAACTTTGAAAGTCATGTCAATTGATTCTTAAATTTAGTTATCATTGTCAAAATTCAGTTTTAAATGAGAATCAGTTTTTTTTTTCATTTTAAAATACAGGAGCTAGAGTATCTCCAACAAGCAAACACGTTTTAAAGAAGAAATGATGAAAAATGCATCTAAGTTAATAGTGTTAATTGAAAGACAATAAATTAATTCATAATTAGGTTGGGACCTGTCGGTACAAAGCATTGAAGAGGAAAATCAGGTTCTTCCTGTAAATGGTAAACCAGAAGGTCACTTACTTATTGGAGCAGAGGTTCCTAAAAAACAAGAAGCTTAGGTGGTGCCAAAAGGATGTTAACTGTGGCATCCTGATTAGATGCTGCTTTAATGCATTCACAGTAGGCCCCCTGTTGATCAGCCTTGTTGATGATATATATTAATCTGCATAGTTTTCTACCTGTATCATGTCTGTTCAATAAAATGTCAGTGCACCTTCCACAAAAAGTCTGAAAAACCTTGTAGGAATTTCCTTGCCTTGTAGAAAAACAATTTTGTTCCTACCAAAAGCTGAGAAAATATTACTTCACACAGAAGTTCTGAAACTCAGAATCTGGTAAACCGTGGTACTGCTACTACAGCATATACCAGATTGCATAAAGCACTCTATAATCCCTCTCCTCTGCATTGCACACTCCCAAGATCCATACTGAAATAACTTCAGGCACATACCTCACTCTGACAGAATCGATAGTGAAATATAAGTCAGGGGACAGAAGTGGAAAAAATCAGAGAAGTGCATTTAAGTCTAAAAACAGGAGGCACGTATTCACACAAAGGGCTGTGAATGTCTTGAACAAGCTGACTAGCCATGCACTTGATATTCTGTCCTTTTTTTTTCAAGAAATGGATGAGATTCTCAGCTCGATTAGCTGTCATCTGCCTCTTTTGAAACTTTCTTCTTTCTTCACATTTCAACCCAAGATCCTGAGGGCTCTGGGGTGTCACGGTTTTCAATCTAAATTATCATCAAATTACTTGGTAGAAGAGTTGATCCGTTTTAACTGTTTAAAAGAATTAGATTCAAGTCTTTAGAAGCTCATTAGAAGTGACTAACCAAAGCTAATCCCCAGAACCTTCACCAAAGACCTCTAAACTTCACAAAGCTCAGTACATCTATCTAGACTGGAGTGTTCTAATTTTTCCAAGTCTCATAAGTGTCTTCAATTAATGGTTAATTAATGGTTGACCTCATGCATTTTGACGAATTAAGCCAATAGTCTGTTCAATTAAGTAATTGAGCTCATTTGAAATGAAACCAGGAGGATTTGGAATCTCCAGGCTGTAGGTTTGTGAACAATGACAGTAACTGTACAACGCATTCTGATAGTTTACTTGTATGCAGAACGAACCCAAATAGCGTCTTTAAAATTAAGCAGTATTTAGCAGTATTATGGATTCACCTCCAATATAAAGTAATAATATAGTTATACTTTTCCTCTTTCAAAATGTATTATAGTTGTAGCCTTGAAAAAAAAACAAGAAAATGCACAGTTTTCACTCTTTGTGAAAAGGAGTTCATATTAATTGGAAAATTAAAATAATTATTTTTTAATTGATATATTTTGTTTGAAATAAAAATGAACAAATTAGGCAACATAGCTGATTCACGTGCGACGTTTTCAATTGGTAGTTTCCCTTGTCTCAGCTATGTGGTGTACCCAGACTGAAAACGGAGCTTCGCCAGTCTTGCTTATTTTGTGTGTGAATGCGGTAAAATGGAATCGGAGAAAAGAGGTAAGTCGCTTAAAGGTTATTACATAAGTTTTAATGTTGTTTATGCAGCTTTTAGCGGGCTCGAATGTAATGAAGCCACCAGATAGGGTTTAAAGTTGACGGTAATAAAAAGTACCTGTAGCTGAGATTTCATTTGTTAACTGACACCTTTGAACCGTTTTATAAGTTATTGAAGGCTGAAAATGCAGCTACCATAAGTATTTTTCAAGTTATTTAAATTTTCCTGACAATTTAAATTTACCTTTCTAATATAGGGACTCATAAATTTTACACATTTGCCTTATGCTTTGCGTGTATTTCAAATGTGTATATGTATTGATAAGTCTAGACAAAAAACAGAAGAATACAAGCAGCAATAGGATCTCTGTACCTAAACGTTTTAAACCCTATTAAATCCTTTCAAAGATTAGCATTAATTAAAGTTTAACATTTTAATGCACAGCTTCAGAGACAAAACTGTTCCACGTTTATTTTCTGATAAATTGCGAGTTACGAGTGATCTTGTTAAACTGGCTTATTCCATAATCGTTTCTCCTAAACTCATGTGCAAGTAGTGCTTTGCTCGAAAATACCCGATTTGAAAATATGCCGAGTTCAGTCGGAATGACGGGATTTTCGAATATTTACTGCGGGAACTGAGAGAATTTAGGATGTACTGTACCTTCCAGATCTAGGATCCAGAAAATATTCACACTTTTTTATGTATCTACTTATGGTACCAAACATGGCTGAGAAAATAGATATGGCTCAGTTGCAGCTTCCTCAAGTCTAGCGATGTCCTGAGTTAATGGATATATAAAACTGCCTTGAATTGGAAATGACTCATCTTCTGTATTTAATCTGCAGTCACTGGACACTTTTCATTAAGAAGTACGTGTTAGCATGGCAGATTATAGTTAGATAACATTTATGTTTTTTCTCCCACTTTTCAGTTCCTGCAGACAAAGACAGCCCTGCGAAATCCCTGATCACTGCACTCCATTTGAAGTACGTAGAAAAGCCGTGGAGTGAAACAATTAACCTGGTTTGCAGGTGCATGGTGAGTATTTTATCCATAAAATAAAACAAGGGAGACCAAAACATACTTCTTGTATTTTTTTTTCTAACCCTTTCATATTCAACGGATTTAAAATACTTCTCACTTATTGGTTACTGTGCATGAACATCCTGTAGTGGCGTGCTGTAGTTTTTTGGGGGCTTCATTTCAAAAACACTTTTTTTCATCCCCAGTGGGGCAATTTAAACACCAAGCTGTGAAACATACTACACATTAAAAAAAAAAAACTTTGCTGAGAAAAACGTATACGTGCATAAAAACAGCAAACGGAGCACAGAAGTGATTGAAAGAAACAGTGTGTAGTATTTAAGAAGGTATTAGCACAGACCCATTTGTGGTGGTGGTGAATTGCAAAATACATTATGTTGATAAGACTTCTTGACAGTCCTTGTTTGCAAGCCTGATGGCCTCTGGAACAAAGGTAAATTTCCTTTTATTTGGCCTGCATTGTGGACAGAAAAAATGTCTTCCTGATGTTCAAAACACTGATGAAGGATGTAAGAAGGGTCTTCACAGATGTCATAGGCCTTTCTCGGGATCTGCCGAGCATACAGCTGAAGGCGCTTTTTGTCTTTTTTGCCTGAGTGAAGTGAACCAACAGATACAAGAAAAGGTTGAAATACTTTCGATAAAAGTTAGTTTGTATGTTACTTTGAGTAACATACAGTCCACGCCTAAGATGATGAGGACTGCAGTTGATGAAACCTATGATATTACTCTTTTTGCTGTAATATTTTCCAGATGTTGCTGTTTACCATATGGTCAGTTTAACTTCAGTGGAACTTTGCCAAAGCTCAGCATAAACAAGTAGACCTTGACATTATGAAAGCCCCTGTGCGGATTTTGCAAAAGGCTATTAAAAATGTGTCCAGATAAAGTTGGGGCTGTCGAAAACATACTGTATTTCTTATGCAGTGTGCCATTTTCTTCTGCTTCTTGGAGGTGTCCTGCCATTAATGAAACACTTTGTAGTCTTTCATAAATGCTCAGTCCTGGAGAATCACTAAGTTCAGTTCTGTTTGGGTAGAACAGTTGATATCCTTTCAGACACATAGACTCCTTGTCAGTCTCTAAGGATGGGGAGTGGAGGCCCTCATCCAGCAGTGATATCCCAAAACGGACACAGAAGAGTGGAGATGGTGGTTGAGAACCCAACAACTTACTACTATTTTTTTACAAAATGGAGAATGGAAGTAGACAATTAATATGAAGAAATTGTACATGAAAAAAGTATTGGTCTACTATAGGTCTTCTGGATTTTGAACCATTGTGGAGTGACCTTCCACATAAAAATCCACCACTTCACTGAAGAAGTTTGTCATTGTCCATGTTTTTCTATTTGAAAAATAAGAAAAGTGCATATTTTAATTCATACATAATAACCCCCCTCCCAAGAAAATGAACCGAATAATTAACTATTTTTTTGTCCAGAACGCCTCCAGAGAAAACGAAATCGTGTCTCTCAGCGCTGTTGGTAGACCAGTAGGTGACACTCTTCTCTCTGGAACCAAACCTGGATGTCCAAACCTATACCCCAGCATGGTGACTGTACTGTAAGAAATGCTGTCCTTTGGGTTGAGACATGAAACCACAGTCTGGCTTCTTAGGTGATTTAAAAAAACAACGACATTGTCACTGTTCATAAGTTGTCCTGGGTATTTTTCACTGGTGATTTACACAGCCTGGAATCTCTACATTTGCCCCTTAATTCTATCATTGAAGTAATTTCTCACTACCTCACTTAATCGTCTGAGCAGTAGGGCTTACAGAACATAATGGCTGCCCTATATCACCCAGGTAGGTGTTGCACTTAAATGCCTAATGAATTGATGACCTTCTTATACATGAAAATGCTTTGTGATGGGGGAAAAATGCTTATAAATCACTCTTAGCAGTGATTATTTATGCCAAAAATGTTTGAATTTCATACTCTATATCATCTGCTGTATACTATTTACTGCACTATATGATGACTCGTGACTTTGGATTTGGTGTGAAGAGGTGACGTTTTGAATGATTTGAAAATGTGAAAGTTTGTCTGTGTATTGAGCAACATTGCTTGTGGTGCCATCACCATTGCTAGTGGTGATATGAAGAGTATCTAGGTGACAGTGCATGAGTTTGATTATTTCAACTGGTGCACACTCAAGATTGTCTGTCAGTGGGTGCATGCTCCCCATGGTCCCATTTGTAAGTAAATGGCCCTGTGGTACAGTTCTCCCAACTTCAGTTGCTAGAATAGGCTAGCTAGCTTTATAAGCGCTCTATAGCTTCTTCAGAGCCTGAAAGGTATCTAAACCGTGAGGGTGTATCTTTTAAACCTCAGTAGTACACGTTACTCATATTATTGGCACATGCTTGACATTGCATCAGTGTTGAAAGAATTGAACCAAAAGCAGGGAATAACTGGAGGAGGATCTATTACTGTTTCTTAATCTTAAATTAATGATGCATGTTTTTTCAGGAGAAACGCAAAAAGGATTCCAATGTACCTAGTAAGCAGTTGCTGGATTGCCTGGAACGTCTTCATAAAGCTTTGAATGGTAAATGTTTTGCCAAATTTGCATTAAATAATCTTGTTGATTCACAACCTTTATTTTTTTAAGGTGCACTGTAGTTGGCCTTAAAGGGTTCCTATTTGATAGTACTGTAGCTCTATTAACTGACGTTTGTGTTGATTAGTTTTTTTTTAGGAATGGCAGTGCCCATCTTTGAACATACTATCAATGCAGCTTGTACATTGCGATTCCCACTCAGGATGGTCAAACTATTCTTTAAAAAAATCTTACTTTACATGAGATGTATATTTAGTTTTTTAACATAATCCTTCATTCTCCGTTTTGTTCAAGCTACATCCTTCACTGACATGGTAACCAGACTTGAAATAATAGCAAAGCATAAAGGGTGAGTATTCTGTATAAATGGCCTTTACTGTGTTTGGGTGAACCAAATGAAACTCCTGACGGCACATTTCTTACATCCATAAGAAAAGGCTACATTAGCAGCTGAAATCTGAAATGGCAATTCTGATTTGGGGAAACAATAGAAAGTATTTTTAGTTGGAGTCTTTTTAAGAGCAGTCTGAGTGGGTGCTTCTTTAAATAAGAGAGGTCATGTGAAATCCAATAACATGAATGCCTTACAGCATTATAAAGAAATATGTTGCATGAATTTTGACTCATCTACCTATACTATTTGAATAAGACAAGGGGAACTTTCCCAGAACTTGGCTACGTCAGTGGTTTCTTGGTACTCGGTTGTTTCTTGTTAATGTATTGTACAGCTGAGGCAGCGAAGAACAGCTGTGTGGCATTGTGATGAGAAATATCTTTGGAGTTTGTGATGGACGTGTCAGACTCTAGCTGATCTGTGTGTTATGTTAAATCCTGTACCCTGCTTATTGGGCTAATTGCTGCCATAAAGTTTTCACCATAGTAATAAATGATGGCCAAGCAGATAAGCTAACAATGCCCTTTTCCCATCTCCGTATTAACGGTTATTATTTTAAAAAAGAGCTTTTGCTCGATAATGCAAATGAAACAGAAGAATCAGACATCGGGATTGTCTGTGGGTTTTAAAGGTAGATTTATCTGTGCACCAGTTGCAACACTGGTTTATAGAACTTTTTTGTTGTTTCATTGTGCTACCCACACCGACATGTTCAAATATAATGATCATCTTCAAATAATGTATTTAGGTTGTAAATTTACATTTGCCCACATATTTTATTTTAAGAGTGATGGCAATGTTATGGCAAAATGGAGGTGTTAAAATGACAAAATAGGAAGTTGACAGTTGAATCAAATATTGAGTCAGAAAATGGTATCCCTGACTATAAAAGCAGTTATAGAATTTATCGTACATTAAATAGTGTAACGCAGCATGTATTTTCTTTGTTTTTTGCACAGATTGCAAGCTGGTTGTCAATATATACACTAGAAAGCTACTGTACAATGCGTAAATATACAAGAAATATACAACGTGAAAGGTTCCAAGGATTGATACTGACATTTTTAGATCTGTGAATACCAGAGACCCACCTTCAACAGACACGGAAGTCTCTTCCCATAATTTAGCCATAAATATCATATAGAGAGAAAGAGGGAACCTTAGTGTTAAAGAGAAGGATCCTATTGAAGACTACATTGCCACTTTAGGATTGACTGCTTCTGTTGCTTTTGTCAGGAGCATTTAAGTAAAGTTTTTTTTTTTCCTTTCATAATGCCTCCATCCAACTTTGTGTTCACATCGTGGGACAGGTTTTCGTTTTCGTTCGATGAGATTCTGACTATGTGATCGAATGACTGCAGGATGTCAAGGCAAAGGCTGCTGCTCTCAGCGGTGGATGTTTGAAACGAGGTCTCGTTCCCTGGGTGTGTCGCAGGCTCGGCTCCCACCTCAGCCCCAGTGAGGATGTGTGTTACATCACGTCAGACATCTTCTATCTGGAGGTGCTCTTCCAGCCCGCTGGGGAAGTTGCTGACGTCAAGGTGGCGCACCATGGAGAAGCTCCTGTGGTAATGACTACATGCTCGCTTATTGCTTGGGGCTGTATTCCGAGCCCTCTGGATACTGGGAGCTCATGGAATTACAGCACTAGGTTTCATCTTCCATGGTGATTATGTAATTAGAAAGTAATATACTGGCAATGCTGAACATCTGCTGTGCTAGGCCTTAAAGTGTAGGCAGCAAGGATCTGAAAATATGGCGTGATGCATATGGCTACATCCATTCTGTAAACGTACTTGTTTTTATTTTAGTTTTTCTACATCCTGAAAACCTCTGAAGGTTCTAATCTGACATTTTTTTAGGTGGCACGCAAAGCTGAAGCTTGTCTTGGGTTTTGCAGGAAACATTGAACAGGGAGCAGAGTACAATCAGAGGTTAACCCTGCTGAAAAAATGGCAGCTAGTACAGCAGGATTGAATGAAACAATTGGGGCAGAGTACCAAGGACACAATAGCAGCATCCACATCTGGGACTTGAATCCACGATCCTCTGGCAGTGGAGCCAGAACTCTGCCCCTTACTGCATGTTACTCGTGTAAAGCTGTAATGGGGTGTATTTGTTTTTAGGTGTCCTTTTGAGTTTGGCTATTGGAGGGGGTGGCTCATTGAGGCTGCTGGAGAAATCCCAGCTCTC